CAATGCCCAGACCAAGGCCAAGCACTCCTTCTCCACTGCCGCATAACTCACTTCTCTGGGTAACAACTTTCTGCTGAGATATGCGACAGCACAGCCCCCAGTCCATACATGGAAGCATCTGTATGGACGAGAAAGCGTTTGTTAGGGACTGGGGCAGCCAAGACAGGGGCATTCACAAGAGCCTGCTTCAGTGCCTGGAACGCAGCTTCACAAGCAGGAGAACACAGGACCTGCTTAGGCAAGTTTTTCTTGGTCAGGTCTGTCAGGGGCTTAATAGGAAGTAGGAGGAATGAGACAGCGCTAAAATAACTTATGGCAGCAACCTTAAAAAGGGAATCCCTCAAACCCTTTCTAAAACAGGATAAAGTAAAAACAATAAAAGGCTGCGCACTTGAATAAAGTCCAATAAAAGGAAGAAAAGAGAAAAAGTCCAACTGGTATATTCTTACAGGTGTCTTTGGTTGATGGGGTCTTCTATTTATGTGGTGGCTTCACTCGTTATGAAAAATAAAAAGAGGGAGAAGGGACATCCAATGGTGTAGTATGTAAAATTCAGGTATAGACGTAAAAATAATAGTATAAAACTCACATTTACCAGAGCTAATGTCCAGCTCTGGAGTAAAGCGCGTACAGCGGTTTAATCCCCGCTTGTGGGATGTAAGCAGGTTCTTCTCCGTGAATGGTATCCAATTCTCGGGATAAAACAAACAGCCAATAGTGCTCACTGTATGGCAAATAATAATAAAATAATAAAAGAAATGTACTTACAAAATAAGAGCAGACCCACTGCTCTTTGGTGATAGCTTGGGTGGATTGATCCCCACCTACGGATTTCTTTTGGGTACAGGAAACTTCCAGGAAATTTTTAGGTTTGTTTTAAAACCAATAAAATAATAAAATTAACAGTAAAAAGGCCAGGGTAAAAAAGAAAGATATGTGTCTATAAAAAAGATAATTGGCACAAGCAAATGACCAAAAATACTTTAATATATAAAAAACACAATATTCAAATATCCATAACGCGTTTCGTCAAGAAAGACTTTATCAAATGGAATAACATTTACTACCTGGCACATAAGGGTTATATAAGACACAAATAATTTGAATTTTGGCGCCAAAAATTAGAGCAACCAATCAAAACACACAAATAGTAAGCAGGCTCAAAACTTTAAAATGAATATACTATACAATATACTAAAGTGTCCTGACTTATTTAAAATCTATTAAGAATAAAAACGAGGGGGGGAAAGTATAAAAATTAGAGATTTGAAACGGTCACGTGATTTTCGGCACTTCCGCGTACCGGAAGTGCCGAACGGCAGCATGGGGTATGTAGTTTATGGCCGCAATTGGCGGTCGGAGGACAAAAAAAGGAGGGGAATGAGGGTGTGAGCTATAAGGGGTTGGGAGTGAGAACAGGGGGGGGGAGAATTTATAGAAAAGGTCAGTTTTATTTTTCGGCACTTCCGCGAACCGGAAGTGCCGAACGGCAACATGGGATATGTAGTGTATGGCCGCAAATGGCGGCCAATAGATCAAAATAGGAGGGGAATAGTAATATAAGCTATTTAGGGTACGGGCATATTGGGAAGGTATGAGAACAGCCATATTGAGAATGGCAAAATAGAGGATACACTTATTAATAGGAAAAGTGTATTAAAATGAATAAACCAATTTAAAAAATAAAAGGAGACAGATATTAAAAATTGCTAGCAATAAAAATGGTATAAAAGTGACAATGTTGACAATATTAGATAAAACAGCAGAATTAAAACAAATTAAAGGCATATACACAAATATTCATAAAAGAGATTTCATAAAAAATTATGTAAATCGAAATCTGCATTTAGACCATGGGGTATAAGGGTCTTAAGGTTATACACCCACTCCATTTCAATTTTTCCAAGTTCCTTTTTTATATCTCCTCCACGCCATGAGGTAGAACACTTTTTTATACCAATACATTTTAGTAAACGAGGATCTTTATTGTGCTTGATAAAATGTTTGGATACTGTATGATTTAGGTATCCATTTCTAATATTTCTGCAATGTTCGCTCAGTCTTATCTTTAGGCACCTTGTGGTCATCCCCACATATTGGAGGCCACATGGGCACTCGAGCAGATAAATAACATTTTTGGTATGGCAACTTATAAAATCATAAATATCATACACTTTTTTGGTTTGATTTGACATAAATTTTGTAGTTTTTGATGGAATAACACGGTCCACAGTTTTACATACGATGCATTGGTTGCATCTAAAAAAACCTTTTGTCTGAGGAAAGAATGATACATTTTTTAAAGGAGATTTTTTTGTAAAATTTCTAGTTAAAATAGATTTAAAATTCGGTGCTCCTCTAAAAACAATGTTTGGATGAGTAGGTATAATGGAATTAAGTATCTCATCATGTTTGAGTATGTGCCAATGTTTTCTTATTATTTTTTTGACATTGTTGCTTTTGTTATTAAAATTAAAAATAACTGGAAGTGATACAGTTTCGTTATTTTCTTTATTTTTATATATCAGAAGTTCTTTTCGTTCTTTTTGTTTGACTGTATTAATTGTGGTATTCAGATCCGGTTCTGAATAATTTTTTTCGATAAATTTATTTTTTAAAAACTCTGCTTGTTCATTAAAATCTGTGAGTTCTGAGCAATTTCTGCGAAGGCGTAAAAACTGACTTTTTGGGGCGCTTTCTAGCCATGGCTTGTAGTGACAACTAGATCTATCTATAGCCGTGTTTACACATACTTTTTTGAAAAAAGTTTTTGTTTGGAGTTGTCCGTTGTTGATAAAAATATTCAAGTCTAAAAAGTTAATGGATTGTTTACTGAATTCGTATGTGAGAATAATGCCCCTATTATTAGTATTTAGATAATTGATAAAATCAATAAGATGTTTTTCAGGTCCATTCCAAATAAAAAAAAGGTCATCAATGTATCTAAAATAGGAGACTAGGTTTGCCCGCCAGGTATGATCACCCCATATGGCCCCATGTTGCTGTTCGGCACTTCCGGTTCGCGGAAGTGCCGAAAAATATAACTGACCTTTTCTATAAATTCTCCCCCCCCCTGTTCTCACTCCCAACCCCTTATAGCTCACACCCTCATTCCCCTCCTTTTTTTGTCCTCCGACCGCCAATTGCGGCCATAAACTACATACCCCATGCTGCCGTTCGGCACTTCCGGTACGCGGAAGTGCCGAAAATCACGTGACCGTTTCAAATCTCTAATTTTTATACTTTCCCCCCCTCGTTTTTATTCTTAATAGATTTTAAATAAGTCAGGACACTTTAGTATATTGTATAGTATATTCATTTTAAAGTTTTGAGCCTGCTTACTATTTGTGTGTTTTGATTGGTTGCTCTAATTTTTGGCGCCAAAATTCAAATTATTTGTGTCTTATATAACCCTTATGTGCCAGGTAGTAAATGTTATTCCATTTGATAAAGTCTTTCTTGACGAAACGCGTTATGGATATTTGAATATTGTGTTTTTTATATATTAAAGTATTTTTGGTCATTTGCTTGTGCCAATTATCTTTTTTATAGACACATATCTTTCTTTTTTACCCTGGCCTTTTTACTGTTAATTTTATTATTTTATTGGTTTTAAAACAAACCTAAAAATTTCCTGGAAGTTTCCTGTACCCAAAAGAAATCCGTAGGTGGGGATCAATGCACCCAAGCTATCACCAAAGAGCAGTGGGTCTGCTCTTATTTTGTAAGTACATTTCTTTTATTATTTTATTATTATTTGCCATACAGTGAGCACTATTGGCTGTTTGTTTTATCCCGAGAATTGGATACCATTCACGGAGAAGAACCTGCTTACATCCCACAAGCGGGGATTAAACCGCTGTACGCGCTTTACTCCAGAGCTGGACATTAGCTCTGGTAAATGTGAGTTTTATACTATTATTTTCTTTACGTCTATACCTGAATTTTACATACTACACCATTGGATGTCCCTTCTCCCTCTTTTTATTTTTCATAACGAGTGAAGCCACCACATAAATAGAAGACCCCATCAACCAAAGACACCTGTAAGAATATACCAGTTGGACTTTTTCTCTTTTCTTCCTTTTATTGGACTTTATTCAAGTGCGCAGCCTTTTATTGTTTTTACTTTATCCTGTTTTAGAAAGGGTTTGAGGGATTCCCTTTTTAAGGTTGCTGCCATAAGTTATTTTAGCGCTGTCTCATTCCTCCTACTTCCTATTATCTCTCTGAATTCCCTTTTGGGATAGCTGCTATTTAACTCCAACAATATGTCTATTTTTGAATTTAGAAATAAATATACAATTGATGTCAATAATGTATTTAACACAGAAGCTATCAACTCTACACAAATAACTCCCCACTATTTCAATCAACAAGATTTATTTATGAAATTAGAAAGAGCCTTAACCACAGAAATTAAGTTGAAATGGGAAATTGCCACTTTTAAAAAATACATAGATGAACAAATTACTCCCCGTGGATTAAGACTCCTAAAACTGCCCACTTCTGATCAAGATGATCTCGAGTTTATGGAAGAGTGGAATAACAAACTGGAATTATGTACTTTTGGCCTAATGGAAACATTAATAATAAAAAAGAGTAAAAAATTGTCTATTCTAGACATAGAAATAAACGATCTTAGAGAAAAACTTTTACCATTCACCGAAACTAAGGCTTATAAACAAAACTCTGTACTTATCCAGAATAAAATTGAAAAAGTTGAAGTCGACCAGAAACATTTGAAAATTAAAAAATACATTAGAGATAAGACTGATTATTCTAGCAAACAAGTAAGAACTTATCATCTGAAAAAGAAATACACTTCCGATAATTACCCTTCCAGACCTAACCATCAAAACTATATGTACAATAACTCCCACCCCCCCAACAATGTACCATACCAACCACCTCCCAAATACCACAATTATGCTACACGAAGACCCCATCACCAATTCCCACCCACAATAAGACCCCAATATATGTCTTCTCACCAAAACCACGCCCCTCCCAAATCACCATACCAAAATAAGAGGAATACATACCCACTACCCTCGTACAAACAAAGAAAATTTCCCCATGATAACTACAATTCTATACCCCAATCACCCAGATATCAAAATTCCTCTGGTTTCAATTTCTCACCTAAACCACAAAGATCCAGGTACACTAATGATCATAATGAGTATTCGAATTACTCTAAATCACCCACAATTCCAAATCATACTAACAGATACCAACTATTATCAGTCGACTCTGACTTTGATAATGAGGATCATTTTTTAGAAATACGCACTCACCAACCCGCACTAGCCCAGACACCATACCCATCACGCTCTCAAAAAAGAACTTTAAATTTAGAGGAAGACGAAGTGGAAGAAGGGAACAAAAGAGAAAGATTGGAAAGACAATAATACCTCTCACTAATTCTCACAATGGTATTTTTAACCTCTCTCAAAAAGTTTTATCGGCTGCACAATTATCTGTTTTAAGTAAGGGCCTCAAATTTGCCCCCACTTCCTCTTTTAATTCATTTCAAGCTTTTATTGATGTAAATAAATTTGTTAGGAAGGCTACATTGAAAAGGTTTTTTATAAGTAAAAATGACGAAGAACCTGCCCCTCCTATTTCTCCTCTCCCCTCAGAAACAGGAAATAGTCCTTTTCTGAATACACACCTGAGAGAAAAATCTAAATTTTATCCATCCCATTTTAAATCAGCTCCTTTGATTTTATTCGAGAAACTTGTTCTTAAAGATTTAGAGAAAATCAAATACAAAAAATATGACCCCAATAACCTTACGAATAGTGAAAGACAGGCAATCAAAGAATTACAAAAAGATCGAGACATTGTCATTAAACCAGCTGATAAGGGGGGAGGATTAGTTATTCAATCTAGTAAAATGTATGTAGATGAAGCCCATAGACAATTAAAAGATGGTAATGTATACGAACAACTTTTAACTGATCCAATCAAAAATATTCAAACCATTTTATCTAATTTTTTAAATAAGGGTGTAGACCAAAAAATTTTAAACAAACATGAATATAATTTTTTAAACAAAAAACATCCAATTACCCCTGTTATTTATTTTCTTCCTAAAATTCATAAAAATGAACAACACCCTCCAGGAAGACCTATTGTTTCAGGGATAGGCTCACTCTTAAGTAACCTTTCCCAATATATAGATACCCTTCTCCAACCTTCGGTTAAACTTATGAAATCATACTTAAAAGACTCCATGTCACTTTTAAAAATTTTAAATGATTTTACCTGGAAAAATAATTTTATATTAGTCACATGTGATGTCCAGTCCCTTTACACCATTATCCCCCATGATATTGGTTGTAACGCTATAAAAGAAATTTTAACCCAAGAAGCTAGGATTTCCGACACTCAAATAGATTTTATAATAGAGGGTATCAATATTATTTTAAATAACAATTATTTCTGGTTTTTAGACTCTTTTTATTTACAAAGAAAGGCTATGGGGACTAGGTTTGCCCCCAGTTACGCTAACCTGTTTATGGCCGACTGGGAAAACAAAGCCATATGGGGTGATCATACCTGGCGGGCAAACCTAGTCTCCTATTTTAGATACATTGATGACCTTTTTTTTATTTGGAATGGACCTGAAAAACATCTTATTGATTTTATCAATTATCTAAATACTAATAATAGGGGCATTATTCTCACATACGAATTCAGTAAACAATCCATTAACTTTTTAGACTTGAATATTTTTATCAACAACGGACAACTCCAAACAAAAACTTTTTTCAAAAAAGTATGTGTAAACACGGCTATAGATAGATCTAGTTGTCACTACAAGCCATGGCTAGAAAGCGCCCCAAAAAGTCAGTTTTTACGCCTTCGCAGAAATTGCTCAGAACTCACAGATTTTAATGAACAAGCAGAGTTTTTAAAAAATAAATTTATCGAAAAAAATTATTCAGAACCGGATCTGAATACCACAATTAATACAGTCAAACAAAAAGAACGAAAAGAACTTCTGATATATAAAAATAAAGAAAATAACGAAACTGTATCACTTCCAGTTATTTTTAATTTTAATAACAAAAGCAACAATGTCAAAAAAATAATAAGAAAACATTGGCACATACTCAAACATGATGAGATACTTAATTCCATTATACCTACTCATCCAAACATTGTTTTTAGAGGAGCACCGAATTTTAAATCTATTTTAACTAGAAATTTTACAAAAAAATCTCCTTTAAAAAATGTATCATTCTTTCCTCAGACAAAAGGTTTTTTTAGATGCAACCAATGCATCGTATGTAAAACTGTGGACCGTGTTATTCCATCAAAAACTACAAAATTTATGTCAAATCAAACCAAAAAAGTGTATGATATTTATGATTTTATAAGTTGCCATACCAAAAATGTTATTTATCTGCTCGAGTGCCCATGTGGCCTCCAATATGTGGGGATGACCACAAGGTGCCTAAAGATAAGACTGAGCGAACATTGCAGAAATATTAGAAATGGATACCTAAATCATACAGTATCCAAACATTTTATCAAGCACAATAAAGATCCTCGTTTACTAAAATGTATTGGTATAAAAAAGTGTTCTACCTCATGGCGTGGAGGAGATATAAAAAAGGAACTTGGAAAAATTGAAATGGAGTGGGTGTATAACCTTAAGACCCTTATACCCCATGGTCTAAATGCAGATTTCGATTTACATAATTTTTTATGAAATCTCTTTTATGAATATTTGTGTATATGCCTTTAATTTGTTTTAATTCTGCTGTTTTATCTAATATTGTCAACATTGTCACTTTTATACCATTTTTATTGCTAGCAATTTTTAATATCTGTCTCCTTTTATTTTTTAAATTGGTTTATTCATTTTAATACACTTTTCCTATTAATAAGTGTATCCTCTATTTTGCCATTCTCAATATGGCTGTTCTCATACCTTCCCAATATGCCCGCACCCTAAATAGCTTATATTACTATTCCCCTCCTATTTTGATCTATTGGCCGCCATTTGCGGCCATACACTACATATCCCATGTTGCCGTTCGGCACTTCCGGTTCGCGGAAGTGCCGAAAAATATAACTGACCTTTTCTATAAATTCTCCCCCCCCCTGTTCTCACTCCCAACCCCTTATAGCTCACACCCTCATTCCCCTCCTTTTTTTGTCCTCCGACCGCCAATTGCGGCCATAAACTACATACCCCATGCTGCCGTTCGGCACTTCCGGTACGCGGAAGTGCCGAAAATCACGTGACCGTTTCAAATCTCTAATTTTTATACTTTCCCCCCCTCATTTTTATTCTTAATAGATTTTAAATAAGTCAGGACACTTTAGTATATTGTATAGTATATTCATTTTAAAGTTTTGAGCCTGCTTACTATTTGTGTGTTTTGATTGGTTGCTCTAATTTTTGGCGCCAAAATTCAAATTATTTGTGTCTTATATAACCCTTATGTGCCAGGTAGTAAATGTTATTCCATTTGACAAAGTCTTTCTTGACGAAACGCGTTATGGATATTTGAATATTGTGTTTTTTATATATTAAAGTATTTTTGGTCATTTGCTTGTGCCAATTATCTTTTTTATAGACACATATCTTTCTTTTTTACCCTGGCCTTTTTACTGTTAATTTTATTATTTTATTGGTTTTAAAACAAACCTAAAAATTTCCTGGAAGTTTCCTGTACCCAAAAGAAATCCGTAGGTGGGGATCAATCCACCCAAGCTATCACCAAAGAGCAGTGGGTCTGCTCTTATTTTGTAAGTACATTTCTTTTATTATTTTATTATTATTTGCCATACAGTGAGCACTATTGGCTGTTTGTTTTTTCCCGAGAATTGGATACCATTCACGGAGAAGAACCTGCTTATATCCCACAAGCGGGGATTAAACCGCTGTACGCGCTTTACTCCAGAGCTGGACATTAGCTCTGGTAAATGTGAGTTTTATACTATTATTTTCTTTACGTCTATACCTGAATTTTACATACTACACCATTGGATGTCCCTTCTCCCTCTTTTTATTTTTCATAACGAGTGAAGCCACCACATAAATAGAAGACCCCATCAACCAAAGACACCTGTAAGAATATACCAGTTGGACTTTTTCTCTTTTCTTCCTTTTATTGGACTTTATTCAAGTGCGCAGCCTTTTATTGTTTTTACTTTATCCTGTCAGGGGCTTAGCAATAGCGCTGTAGTCAGGGACAAAACGTCTATAGTACCCTGCCGTCCCCAAGAAGGCCAATACCTGGGTCTTAGTAGTAGGTTTGGGCCAGTTAGCCACTGCCTCTACCTTGGCTGGCTCTGGTCTCTGGCTCCCACACCCCACTCTGTGACCCAGGTATTGTACTTCAGCCATACCTAGATGGCACTTTTCTGGCTTCAATGTCAGGCCAGCGGCCCGAATTTTATCCAGCACTACCCCTACATGTACCAGGTGTTCCTCCCAGGACCCACTGTAAATCGCAATGTCGTCCAAGTATGCACAGGCAAATTCTTGGAAGCCATCCAGGAGTCTATCCACCATCCGTTGGAAGGTAGCCGGTGCATTTTTCATCCCAAAAGGCATGACCTTAAATTGGTACAGGCCAAATGGGGTGACAAATGCCGACTTGGGATAGCATCCTCGGCCAGGGGATCTGCCAGTAGCCCTTACACAGGTCTATGGTGGTCAGATATCGCCCCCTGGCAATACGATCCAGTAATTCGTCTACCCGGGGCATTGGGTAGGCGTCAGTGGTGGTCCGCTCGTTGAGTCGCCTGTAGTCCACACAGAACCGGGTGGTCCCATCTTTCTTGGGCACCAGGACTACAGGCGAGGCCCAAGGGCTGTCGGAGTGCTCGATGACCCCAAGTTGAGTCATCTCCTGTATCTCCTTCCGCATTCCTTCACGGACTGCTATAGGGATATGATAGGGGGGCTGTCGTAACGGGGTCTGTCCAGGGGTCTCTACCTTATGCACAGCTAGGGTGGTATAACCTGGTTCCTGGGAGAACGTCGCCTGCTTCTCCCATAACAACTGCTGCGCCTGTACCCTTTCTGTGGGGTTCAACCGGTCCCCTAGCTGTACAAGGGTAGTAAGGTCAGTCTGGGAATCCCTTTCTAATAGATCTGGAAGGGGTAAATTCTCAGAATCATCTGCAGCTGGGGCACATACTGCTGCAATATTCTCAGGTCTCTCCTGGTACTC